TAGCCGTCGTCGCTGCCCTTGCCACCGTCGTAGTAGCCAATGTCGCTGCCCTTGCCGCCGTCGTGGTAGTAGTCATCGCCCTTGTGGTCGCTGCCCTTGCCACCGCTGTGGTAGTAGTCATCGCCCTTGTGGCCGCTGCTGTCGCCACTGCCCTTGTGGTCGTCGTCGCCGCCCTTGTTGCCGCTGCAGCCGCTGTGCATCTCCAGCTTCGGCCTCTTCGTCTCGCGCTCTGCGTCGTCTTCGCGTTGGCACTGGCGCTTCAACTCCTTATGGGGGGTATGTGCTATGAACCTTATCCATCCACCCCTTCTCACCCCCCCCGTTCCCCGCTCTCATTCCAAGCTCCACGTTCAGCTCGGCGAACGCCGCCGAAATCGCTGACCTCGCGATGGCATCGGGGATCCTCTCGTCGAACGCGGTGCCATCACCGCGGCTCGCGGGATGGTCCTCGAGGGACCTTGGGAGCCATGGCATATGGATGTCCCCCGATGGGCCCTGGGAGGGCCGCGGGGGGACGTGGCCCTGCATGGGGCATCGGAATTGAGCACAAACGGCGGTGAACCCCTCAGTCGTCGCCGTCGTCGTCGTCGTCGTCGTCGGCGTCCGCTGTCGGCGCCCGTCGCCCGTCGCCCGTCGTCTGCCGCCGGCCGCCCATAGTGTTTCACGTTTGTATTGGGGGGTGCATGCAGCTAGTGTAGCAACGCGCATGCGTTGCGGTACGCCGCATGGGGTTGCATGGCGCAGAAAAAAGGACAGTGCACGCATGTTGCATACGATTGCCTCGACCATCTTCAACAGCCTCACCTCCATATCCTCATCCGTTGCCATTTTTCAGGCCCAAGCGTTTGGGGCGTCGCGTCAGTGCGGTGCTGCACCACGCGCAGCCCCACCAGCGCAACCAGCAGCGCACCACGCGCAGCAGCACCCGCGCAACCAGCATCGCACCACGCGCAGCAGCACCAGCGCCATGAACGAAGCTGCGGTGGCGCTCCTCCTGGACGCGGCGGAGGACCTCAACCGCCGCCGCCGCGGCTGCAGCGCTGCCGAGCCGCAGCCAGCGCTGCGGGTGCCAGCCCCGCCGCCGCCGCTAAAGCCGAAGTCGAAGTTCGGGCCGCGGCAGCCTGCGGTCCCACCTGAGGCGAAGCACCACGGGCCGCGGCCGCCGCCGACCGCCCCGCCGCCGAAGCACGCGAGGCAGTGCACGGCGGACCAGCTGCTCGACATGTTCGACATGGCGCCCGCGATGAGCCCGAGCATGAACCAGATGCACGGCCTGCAGCACTTCGTTCAAGACGACGACGATTACGGCGACATGGGCTACCACGACGGTGGCAAGGGCAGCGCACACGACGGCGGCAAGGGCAGCGGCTACGACAGTGGCAAGGGCAGCGGCATGGGCTACTACAGCGGTGGCAAGGACAGCGCCTACGACGGCGGCAGGGGCAGCGGCACGGGCTACTACTATGGTGGCAAGGAGCACCGCCTATGACGGTGGCAGGGGCGCCAGTGGCAAGGGCAGCGATATGGGCAACTACATCGGCGGCAAGGACAGCGCCTACGACGGTGGCAAGGGCCGCGACTACGACGGTGATGAGCCACAGCCGAAGAAGCGCCCATGCAAGCGCTATGGCTACTACGAGCGCGAGGGTGACGACCACTACTACCACAGCGGTGGCAAGGGCGATGACTACTACCACAGCGGTGGCAAGCACGATGACTACTACCACAGTGGCAAGCACGGTGGCAAGCACGACAGCAGCAGCTACTACGGCAAGCGTGGCCGCTACTACGACAGCAGCCGGAACGACGTCGGCTACCGCGACAGCGGCCACGACGGCGACAAGGGCAGCGACCACAAGGGCTACTGCGACGGTGGCAAGGGCAGCGGCCACAAGGGCTACTACGATGGTGGCAAGGGCAGCGGCCACAAGGGCGGCGACGACGACTACTACGTCCCGCGGCCGCGCGGTGGCAAGCACATCCGCCTCGCCGAGGCCCTGGCGGTGAAAGAGCTGGTCGAGGGCTTCGATGGCTACGACTATCAGCAGATGAAGTACATCGGGTGGAACAAGAGGCTCCACGCGCATGTGTGGAGGGAGGCCCAGCGCGCGTGGCGCGATGCCAACCTGTCGTAGGACAGTGGCTACCGCGACGGTGGCAAGGGCCGCGCCGGTGGCTACTACAGCTGTGGCCACGGGCTGCCACGACGGCGGCAAGGGCTGCCGCGACTGGCGGCAAGGGCTGCCACGACCAAGGGCTGCCACGACGGCGGCCAAGGGCTGCAGCGACAGGCGGCTTTGGGCTGCCACGACGGCGGCCAAGGGCTGCAGCTGAGGTCACGGCAGGTGCTGCATCGCTAATTCTAGGCTCGCGCGCTGCCTCCCGATCTCTTCGCAATCGCGACTGCGAGAATAGTTTCCCCCCTCCTCTCCTTCTGAAGCGATCAGAGGCTCAGTTGTCGTATATGAGTTTCTCATATACGACAACTGTGTCGTATATG